GCTCAGAGATCTCCTGCTCCAGCTTCTCCTGAAGCTCTTTGACTCGACTCACTTCACTTTTCTGCTGGGATCTGACCTGCTGCTTCACATCGGAGCTTCTTTTCTCCATGAGACGGATCAGCTCGGTGAAGATCTTCTCGCTGTCCTTCACCGCTTCGTCGGCAGAGCGATTGACGGCCTCCACCTCCTGCTGAAGCAGCTTCACGTCTTTCTCTCTGTCCTGGATTCTCTGCTGGATGTTTAGTCGACTCACCTCCAGCTCTCTCTGCCTCTCAGTCCTTTCTGCTGCAGCTGAGACTGTGTCGTGGCCTTTGTGTTCATCCACAGAGCAGAGGTAACAGATACACTGCTGATCAGTACGGCAGAACATCTTCATCACCTCATCGTGACGAGAGCAGATGTTCTCCTGGAGCTTCTTGGAGGGGTCCACCAGCTTGTGCTTCTCATAGGCAGGGGATTCAGAATGAGGCTGGAGGTGTTTCTCACAGAAAGAAACCACACACTGCAGACAGGACTTGAAGGCTTTCAGTTTCCTCCCAGTGCAGACATCACAGGACACATCTTCAGGTCCAGCATAGCAGTGATCAGCAGGAGCAGCTTGGAGTCCAGTCTTCTTCAGCTCCTCCACTAAAACTGCTAACATGGTGTTTTTCAGCAGGAGAGGCCTCGGTGTGAAGGTCTGCCTACACTGAGGGCAGCTGTGGAGTTTCTTCACATCCTCTTCATCCCAGAAGCTTTTAATACAGTTCATGCAGTAGCTGTGTCCACAGGAAGTAGTCACCGGATCCTTCAGTAGATCCAGACAGATGGAACAAGAGAAGGCTTCCCGATCCAGCTGAACTCCTTTCTGCGCCATTTCACCTCTCAGTGACAACGACTGTCTGAGTTTCGCTTCACTAGAAGCGACTCTGCTTTGACTTCTGATCTGAACAACATCTGTTTGTTCAGTGAATGCAGCCTGTCAGCTCTATCGCTTCACCACCATGTTGGTTACACCCATCTTTAAAACTGTAGATCTGAAGGGGAGGGAACAAGGAAACATGTGGACAGAGTGGAGCCGGCTGTGTTTGAGAGCAGGAGGAAGAAGGAGGGGTTATCAAGCTGTGCTTCATTCCAGGAAGAGGAGCAGCGCTGTGAATGTGAACTTTGCTTCCTCATTTACAAGCAGAGCCTCGGTTAAAACCTGCTCCACTTTTGAAAACATTTCTCTTTTTTTATTACAAGACAAGAGACAATACATAAACATAACAACAAGACGACGACAAGAACAGTGAGATACAAGTCAGCAAACATCATATAGTGTGTGTGTGTGTGTGTGTGTGTGTGTGTGTGTGAAAGAAAAGACCATAAGAAAGTACATAAATTACAAAATAACAACAAAAACAAAGTCAGGGGCAGTATCGCCCCGACCACTGGCAGCAAACCACGACCAGGGCACCGTCAGGGAGCTCCAGAACAGGTCAGTAGGATCAGCCAGGCCGGGTCAACCGGGTTGAATATTGTTTAATTCATTAATTACTACTATTTATTTTTTATTGTAATTCTTGTATTGATTGTATTTTATTTTATTCATTATTATCATCATTCTTTTCTTTTTTTTAGACTGATCGGTCCAGAAAAACATCTTGAAGACGTTCTAGTTTCTTCACATTTGGTCTCACAGGTGTCCAGTTGATGCAGGTGATACATGTGATGAGATGATCCTATAGGATGCCTTGTTATGAAGCTTTATGCATTAT